GTCTGACGATGATGATGATGATACAATGACTTCCACTCATAATAATGAATCAATCAGCACCTCTAAACTTGGTCATGGATTGTCTGAGCCTGTTGAAGCTAACTTGCATTCGGTGTCCCCACGCAATGCCTCTTCTTAAGCTAAAACCAAGAAACGTGATCCCCGTCCGCCACCCTTCCTTTTGAGGGGAATCACTGATTTTAGGCAACTAATTTCCTTACTATATTCTGTGACCAATGGTTTTCGCCTCAAGACAACTGGTAAATCTTCCTTTAGGGTTACTGTGGATGACGGCAATGTTTACCGTGTAGTCCAGAAGCTTTTCAAGGATAATGGAATTCCTGTCAGCACTTTTCAGTTTAAAAATGAACGAGCCTTTCGAGTCGTCATCAAGGGACTTCACGCTTGCCGAAATTACTGCAAAACTTAAAGCTTTGGGACACAACCCTCGGAATGTATTCAACCCCCTGGTGAAAATGGGAAGGCGAATATATTCTTTGTGAAGCTGGAACCAGCTAAAAATAACAAAAATGTATATGATATCCAGATAATTGACTACCAGGTGGTTAAAGTGGAACCGCAGCTTCAGAGAAAGGGTCCTTTAAGGTGTTTCAGATGTCAAGAATTTGGACATTCTAAAAATTTTTGGTCACTCTTGCCAAAGTGTGCCAGATAGGCTGGTGACCATGAAACAAAAGACAAGGAGACAATCTATCAGGGTCAACGCAATGCGATGACTAATTACGGTATAAATATCGTTATTTGGAACGCCAACAACTTAGTTGGCAAATCACTCGAGATTGAGCACCTCCTCCAGGAACGCAACATTGACATTTTATTGATCTTTTATTGATTAGATCAATGACGACCTCCCGACGGCCATTAATTTTGCTGTGTACAAAGGCATCCCGTGCAACCACTTTAAAATCTCAGAGTGCCCGGGACTTTCCTCTGATCATATTCCGCTCCTGATATATTTTTGCGTGGCTGCCTATACGATCGTTACCAAATTCAGGCTTCTTCCCCGGGGCTCGGATCTTAAAAGATTCAGTGCGCAACTTACTGCTCTGACTCAGGAGCAACCTTCTCTTTTTTCTGTGGACGACGTAGATTCCTTTGCTGAGGTCTTAGTTGAACAGATCCATCAAGCTGCCCCTCCTCCTAGAAGTATACCTATTCCGCCTCCATCTTGGGCTCATTCAAAGCCAGAAATTGCTGCCTTGGCCAGAAAGGGTCATTCACTATGCCGTGTCTGGATGAGGACGAGGCATACCATCGATATGGCAAGGTGGAAGGCTACTGTATCAGAGCTAAGGAAAGTCATCCGTTCGGCCAAGTCAGAATTTTTTATAGACAAGCTCAGTGCAATTGATCCTAACCAGAATCACGGTTTTGCACTCTGGAAATGCACCCGCAACCTTAAAAGACAGCCGCTTCAGAGGTTTCCCTTAAACGTGGTGATGGGACTTTGGCCCACAGTGATGCCGAGATTGCTGAAGTATTTGCTGATGATCTTGAAAATCGCTTTACTCCATTCGAATTTGCAACAAGCGAAGAAGTCCAGACAACAATCTCTAGGTTAGGACTTTCATTTGGCCCTCCTGTTACTGTCCGTCCAGTAGACGAAGATGGTCATATAAAGCGACTGGTTACTTCTAAAGCTCCTGGCATGGACGCGATTGATGGCAAAGTAGCAAAGGCTCTGCCTAGCTCTGTCATTGCACAGCTCTGTCTCCTCTTTAATGCTTGCCTGGACCTTGATTATTTTCCATCACCTTGGAAACGAGCATAAGTCACAATGGTGGCAAAAAAAGGAAAAGACCCATGTTGCCCGGAATGTTATAGGCCGATTAGTATGCTGTCCACTTTCTCCAAGATTTTTGAGCGGATCATGCTTGGTAGCCTTTGAAGACGCACTTCCGAACCACCAGTTTGGTTTCCGTAGTCGCCATAGAGCTATCGAGCAAGTGCACAGAGTAATTAACCATATCCTGGGGGCTTTCGAAGACCACAAATACTGCTCCGCCGTTTTTCTCGATGTTCGACAGGCCTTTGACAGGGTTTGGCACGAAGGACTGTTCTACAAGCTAATGCCGCTTTTGCCTGAAAGGCTCTGGAATCTCATTGTATCGTTCTTAGATAATAGGGAGTTTGCTGAAGACATTCGTGGACACCGTTCTGGACTTCGCCCAATTCGTGCTGGTCTCCCGCAGGGAAGCGTACTTGGTCCGTGCAAACTTGCATTACAAAGGCTCTCAGGAGGATGCTAGGGGTGAAGTGGCACCATTATGTAGAAAACCGAGTTATGTTCCAGGACACGGGAGTGCCGACGGTAACGGAGACGATTTGCAAATCCTCAAGTCGATACAGGGAACGTTTGCTCACACATGCAAACTGTCTGGCAAGACATCTTGCAACACCACTGGGTCGACGGCGTCTCCGCAGACGACACCCGACAGACTTATGGATTCTCGGCCGTGACAGACACGGTCGTCTTCTGTAATAACACATCTTGATTAACTTTTGACCGGCTATGACCACACCTGATTTGCTCAAGAATGGAGCACCCGTTACCCGCTTTTTTTGGGATCTTTAGGAATAATTCGTCAATACACGAAAACAAGGTCCATCCTTGTGTGGCGTGTTCAACAAACTAAAAAATCACATTTCTCGAAAATTCCCTTTTCCTGCCAGCTCCTTTTTTGGGAAAGACAACAGAGTAAGAGAGAGGGATGAAATTTTTTCTGTGTTTCACGCAATCAGTTCTGCCGGCGTTGCCCTTAGCTCTGCCAGCGTCTCAGTCGTCATACTGATAAAAGGACGATGAATTTTAGCTGCGATTTCAGAACTGCTTAAGCCTCTTGTAATGATTTCAGAACTGCTTAAGCCGTTAGTAATGATAAATACAGGCTCACCTTTTTAAATAGTGTAGCTTATGGAAGAGGGGACTTATGAACAGGTTCTCTCATTGCAAACTTTAAAAGCAATACGATTTATGGTGTTTACTTCAAAATATTCCCATACTCCCATATTGATTAATCTTAAATTAAAAAGTCAATTTGAAGTTGCCTGCGAATTTAAAAATAGGTTAAACAAAATGTTCAGATACTAATACTCTTCAAACAGAAAAACATTCCAGCTCGCCGTAAAGATCATTATATGTACATACATATTTCTGTCTTCTATAAAGAAGAATTTTCAGACCATAAGTATGGCAGAACAAGTCCTTGAGCAGTTAGAAACAATAACAAGAAAGGAAAGCTAACTTCGGGCGAAGTTGCTGAAGTTGATATATTTTGTAAATTATATTCTCCAAAATTATTCATATGCTGCATTTTTAATACTCATAAAAACTCCCAACTTCCTAACTTTAAAAACACCAAAGTTATGGCTTTTCCAATCGGTCCTTATGAAATTTGGTAAGTTGAATTGATTGGCCAAAAATAAAACCTATAAAAAACCCCAACTTCCAAAGTTTACAAACACCAAAGTTATGGCATTTCCGATCAATCAGTTGTTTGGCGGCTATAAGATATAGTCGACCGATCCCGGCTTTCCGACTTATATACTGCGTGCAAAGGAACGAAGGGTGTGTGCAAAGTTTCAATTCGATATCTTTAAAACTCAGAGACTAGTTCGCGTAGAAACTGACAGATGGGCAGACGGACCTGCTTATATCAACTCAGGACGCGATCCTGATCAAGACTATAGGGTCGGAGATGTCCCCTTCTCTGCGTTGCACACTTTTGACCAAAATTATAATACCCACGGCAAAGAATAAAAATACTTCCAAAAGCTTTACTATTTTTTTTGTTTTTTTTTAATTTGGTTTGTCAGACAACAAGATCTCGTTAAAAAAAATCGGTTTTTGTCGAGCGTCAATGTGAGAGAGAGCAAAAGCTTGGTTAAGCTCAGTAGTCAGATCGTAAAACTTTAATCTTTCCAGTGTGACCAAAATTTCGAGAGTTCATCAGAATTAAGCGTGCTACGGTCGTGCTGTTAATCAGCTGGGCTTGTTGCCAAGCAGTTAAAATTCAAATATCGTATTTGCAGCAAAAAGCCTTTAAAAGATATTATCAACTACCTTGGCAAGACAAGTCTGCCGCTGTACAAGGAAATTAAAAAACAATACAATTTAATTTAGTATTAATGTTATTTTTTCCTCACATGTAAACTCCTGCAATCGATTTTTGTGGGTTTTATGATTTTTTTTTCACTCAATTTTTTAAAATGTTTAGTGCCAAAAGATTACATTTTGTATTCTTTTCGCTAGGGCTCACCCAAAGTTCTGGCTCTCTCTCATGACTGGCGTACAGTTTTCGGCGATAGGCAAACAGCTGGCGCTCACTTTTCATCAGACTTTTTTTCACCTCGGTACTCAGATCGACAAAAAAATACAAGGAAATTACTTCGCGTTGCCAACCACCTGAAATGAACTTTTAGTAAACTGTAGCGAAAATAAGAAAACATTTAAAAAAATAGAGGGAAAAAATCAAAAAGCAAAAGTCGATTGCAGGAGTTTACATGTGAGGACAAAATAACATTAATACTATCTGTGGTGCCTCTAGTCAGAGCAAAGTGTTTCTTAGGTTAAAAATGTTGGAAAAAAAAAATTAAAGGGCAGCAATGAATTACAAATTAGCAAATAATTATCGTAAATTAAAAAAACAACTGTTAAACTTAAATTGTATTGTTTTTTAATTTCTTTGTACAGCGGCAGACTTGTCTTGCCAAGGTAGTTGATGATATCTTTTAAAGGCTCTTTCCCGCAAATACGATTTTTTGAATTTTAACTGCTTGTCAACAAACCCAGCGTATTAACAGTACGACCGTAGCACGCTTAATTCTGATGAACTCCCCAAAATGCAGTCACACTGGAAAGATAAAAGTTTTTACGCTAGTTTTTCGATCTGAGTTCTAGGCTTTAATAAAAACAGGGTAAAAATTAGGTTTGGGATTTTTACGAATTGTGTATGATGAATCTTAAATGCGCATGCGTTTTGCGCATGGTTATTCATAAAATTTAATACGCATCTAAAAACATTAAGTGCAGTTTATGTATAATGTTTGACAGATAAACGCATTAAAAATGAAAATTTATTTGACATTACGTTTATTTCTTTGTGTTTGTAAGTATACAGAAAGGATTTATTTACAAAAATGTAATAATAACTTTCTTAGTAATTTTAAGGGAAGCTTGCCCTAAAAATGCAGAAGAAAAAGTGGCAATGTCCGACCACTACCTTTTAAGTGAAGAGTATATTGTAAAGATGAACAGGGCCCCAAGCAGAGGTCCTTATTTTGATACTTCAGCTACAAAAAATGTTACGTCTTTAGTTGGAAAAACAGGACATTTGAATTGTCGCATAAAAAATCTTGGAAATAAAACGGTACATTGGACTGAACTTAATAGATTTTGTGATTTCATGGGCCCAAAACTACGTTAATACATTGTGTATTATTCCAGGCGCAACTTTATCGTTTTAGAGTTTTCTAAAGTGTGCTAATTGTGTAAAAAGTTACTTGATATAAATAAAAACTCGTTTGTTGGCCTATATTAGGAATATATTTCGAAATTTTATAAGACATGTATATATGTATATAGAAAACTTTTTTTTTTTTCGCGCGGAGTCCCACGGCCCACTTACCCGCCCAACCGACCGAGGGGCGCAGCCGTGTATCGTACGGCACGATTCGCGATAAGATAGACGCGAGATAAGAAATTAAAGGTAAAGGTCCGGGGAAAAAAGTAATAGTTATATCAATCTTGTGCCAATGAAGCAAGTATCAATCGTTTTAGGAGCGGCAGAGAGTCAAGATTTGATATTACAGGAAAAAGTCTATTATAGTCAGAACATAATACTCTGAAAGGCTCATGCAAGGCATAGTTAGATCTACAATGATTTAAAATTAGGGGAAAATAATTTCTAGTTAATCTACTTGGCACAGAAAAGTTTAGCCGACTTAACAAGTCGGGGCAGTCAATATCACCATGTATTGACTTGTTCGTTTATTTCTCTAACTCTCTCTCTCTCTCTCTCTTGCATGCTTTACATTGCATTTGTTTATTGATTAAAGTTGTTGTGTTGCACAAGCCACGCTCAGTCGATATAAGATTTATTCTCTCGTGCTCTCTTTATTCGACTTAATTTCGTGATCTCGCGCTCTTACTTTTTTCGTGTTTTGTGGTTTTTGACAATTTGATTTGATCCCAGTGCCAAATTTACTTTGAGGTATTTTTCAAATTCTTATTTTTTTATTTTGCTTTAAACTTACAATGGCTCTTGTCTGTTCTAAGAAAAATTGTACTCTTGCGTCTTCAACTAAAGACCCTTTTATTTTTTGCTGGCTCTGCGATTCGATGATGCACGTTAAATGTGCAGGATTTACTGGCAGAGTCAAAGATTTCATTGATCTTAATTCTGGTCTCATGTGGTCATGTGGGTCCTCCAAGGAAATGGTTGTTGAGATGAGTGGCTTTATGAGGCAGACTCGAGACAGCTTATTGAATATCTCAGGAGCTTTTAAACAACTCAATGAGGGGTTCAATTCCGTCTGTGCCCAGTTTAATAATAAAAAAATATTAACCGAGTCGCCTAAACGTAAAAAAGCCAGTTTAACCGCCGTTAATATGATTGTGGAATCCACCCCAAATCCGAACTTGGTAGCAGCAGTTTCTGTTGACACAGGGGTAAATGAACCAACTGTGCCTATGGATACAGCTAGTTCGGGTGGTACGTCTGTTTCCAGAATAAAAGCTACAGTACTGGCTAAGTCAAAGAATTCGTTGCCGACCGAACCTACAGGTACAGTAGACACCGTTCCTGGTTCTCAGCCCAGTGTGGTTCAGACTGCTGGTGGGGGCCGTAAGAAACTTTCAGTTGTTCCACAAAGGAAGCAATTATTTGTTTCTAGATTCACCCCAGATACCAAATCTGAGGATGTTTTGGAATTTATACGTGAAAAATTCCCATCCGAGGATATTGCAGTTGAACAATTTCGATTTTCTTACGCTCGTAGGATATCGTCTTTTAAAATATTTGCTCCGCCTGATGTGTTTAATGTGTTACTTTCTGAAAGTTTTTGGCTTAATGATGATTTAGTAATTAAAGAATTTGTTCCAAATAAACCGAGAACAAATAACAGGCCTTCCACTGTGCCAAAAAACTAAATAGTTTATTCTTGGCGTATCAAAATGTTAGGGGACTAAATATGAAGCTACACAAGCTTTATGCCGACTCCTCTGCATTCACCGAAGATATTTTGGCTTTTACGGAAACTTGGCTAAAACCAGAGATATCTGACTCTGAAGTTCTGTCAAATAACTTTAATACTTATAGGACCGATCGCTCCTCACGTAGGGGGGCTGTGTACTGATTGCTGTTACCTCTAGCCTAACATCCGAAAGAATTCTCACTCATATCCCAAACGAAATTGAATTTGTAAGTGTGAAAGTTTCTTTGCAATCTTTATCTATTTTTGTTACATGTTCCTATATTCCACCTGGCTCTGATCTAGTAATTTATGAGCACCATCTGTCCGCAATAAAATCCGTACTATCCCTGCTTTCTAACAGAGACCTTTTGATTGTTTTGGGTGACTTTAATCTACCCGATATTTCTTGGTCTCCTCCCACTGACTCACTTGTCGCTATACCTTTATCCGCCCATGATTTTGTAGATGGCCTTTTAGAATTATCGTTACAGCAAGTAAGCTTTATACGAAATTCTTTAAATAGACAATTAGATCTTGTGTTTGTTTCAGACCCGTCCGAGGTCACGGTATGTAGAATTGACGCTCTTGTTGTACCTGAAGACCGATATCATCCAACAATGGAATTGACAATTTGCCTCCCCTGCTCTGATACCCTCTCTCCTTTAGTGCCCCCAACTAAAATGAGATGTTTTCGTAAATGTGACTATAATAAACTTAACGATATGATTTCTCATTATAATTGGACAGACTTGTACAATTGTACAGACATTGAAAGTGCCACTGAACTATTCTATATAGCGTTAAATACTTTTTTTAATGAATGCGTTCCTGATAGGTTTCCTTTAAACCTAAACAGGCCTCCTTGGTTTACCAATGCTCTTCAAAGACTTAAAAACCTTAAATCAAATACTTATAAAAAGTATAAAAAATCGGGTAAGCCATCAGATTTTTCGAAATATGTAGTGGCTCGATCGGATTTTAATGTTCTTTTTTCAATGTTCTCAACAGTCTTTGTTAATGCCAAGCGTAAGTCATCGGCATTGCCTTCATCGGTACGTCTAAACTCAATGGAGGCATCGACGGATTCTGACATTGCTGATTTATTTCCTGAGTTTTTCCAAACCACTTATAGTTCGACAGCTTGGTCAAATTCTAACTACCCTAATCCCTTAAATAGGGCAAATTGTATTTTTTCCCCTTTAATTACTGAAAACTCTCTCTTAATAGATTTAGAAACAACAACGCCGACTTATTCTACCGGTCCAGATGGACTTCCTGGATGTGTGCTCAAGTTTTGTGCGTCAACCATTTGTAAACCGATTCTTAAACTTTTTAATTTGTCTATTTCATCATCAGTTTTTCCTACTATCTGGAAGGACTCTTTTATTATTCCACTTCATAAAAAGGGTGCGAAGGCTGATGCCAAGAATTATAGAGGTATTTCCAAATTGTCGGCAATTCCTAAAGCATTTGAACGTATTATCACTTTTCATTTGCAACATTTATGTTCCTCACTTATATCACCGTGTCAGCATGGTTTTGTTAAGCGAAGATCGACCACCACCAACCTTCTTGAATTGTCATCTATTGTAATAAATGGATTTCAGAAAAAAATGCAGACTGACGTTATATATACAGATTTTAGTAAGGCCTTTGACTCCGTCAACCACTCTCTTCTCTTATTCAAATTAGATCTGCTTGGGTTTCCTGGTAATCTATTAACTTGGATTTCAAGTTACTTGAATGGTAGGGCTCAGAGGGTTATATTCAAGAATTCTGTTTCAAAATTGATCTACGTGACATCTGGAGTGCCTCAGGGAAGTCATCTGGGCCCTTTGCTGTTTACTTTGTTTATCAACGATCTTCCCTCTATCATAACACATTCTAGTGTTCTAATGTATGCTGATGATGTTAAGCTTTGTTTATCATATAATGATATAGCGTCGGGATTTAACTTACAGTCAGATATTGACTGTTTTCATGAATGGTGTGAGTACAACCTTTTAAAGTTGAACTACCTTAAATGCAACGTCATGACTTTTTATAGGGGTACTCCTACGTTTATTAGTTATTTTCTTGAAAATACGTCACTCGACCGTAAATATTCAGTTAACGATTTAGGTGTTCTTCTTGACCCTAAACTTAAATTTGACTGCCACATAATGTCCACTGTTAATAAAGCCATGAGTGTTCTTGGCTTTATAAAGCGTTGGTCAAAAGAATTTGATGACCCTTATACGACCAAATTATTATTTACCTCCCTTGTCCGTCCTATTTTGGAATATTGTTCGTCGGTTTGGAGTCAACAATATCAAGTGCACATTGACCGTATTGAGTCGGTACAAAAAAATTTCTTCTATTTGCCCTTCGTAGTTTGAACTGGGATCAAAACGTAAGGCTACCTTCCTACCAGAGTAGATTACTGTTGCTTAATTTACCTACACTTGTAAATCGTAGAAAAATGCTTGGTACTATTTTTATGCGTAATCTTATAAGAGGTGATATTGATTCTGCAGAACTTGTAAACCGCCTAACTTTCAATGTTCCTGTTAGACTAACACGAAATTATATCCCTCTAAATTTGCCACGATGTTCATCAAATTTTTGTCTGCACGAGCCCTTTCGCGTTCTATGTAATACTTATAACAACCTTTATCATCTAATCTGCATTTCCACTTCTATCCCGTTACTAAAAACTAATATTTTAACTCATTTGCTTTTCTCTTAATTGTGCCTTTTATTTTCACTTGTGTCTTGTCTCTATTTAATTTATGTATTTTCCTCGCGAACTCGCATTTTTTGCCCAAATTGATAATAGGGCCCGCGCGTAACAAGCACGTGCTTGGTGTCGTTGGGCCACTTGTTTGTACTGCTCGTAGTGCATCAACGTCCATCAGAATAAGGTTATAAATAAAGATAGTACCAAGCATCGTTCTACGGTTGGCTAGGGATGGTAAATTAATCAAAAGAAGTCTACTAGAATAAGAAGGTAAGATAAGATTTGCATCCCAGTTTAGGCGCCGTAAAGCAAAAAGAAGGAAGTTTTTTGTACAGATTCAATACGACCAATATGTATTCCGTATTGTGGACTCCAGACGGGAGACCCATACTCCAGAATCGGACGGACTAGCGAAATAAATAAAGTTTTAGTCAAATAAGGATCATCGAATTCTTTTAACCACCTTTTAATAAATCCAAGCACTCCTCTGGCTTTATTAACCATGGACGAAATGTGATTAGAAAATTTTAGTTTAGGGTCCAAGAGAACGCCAAGATCGTTTACAAGAGTTATTCTATCCAAAGAGCTGCCACTTAACGTGTAAGTTGCGTATATCGAATTGG